CAAGGACTAAATATATATATATATACATTTTTCCAAAAAATAATCAGGTCTTATTGTACACATTTCCTTTTTCTTAATTCCCACGCTCCGATCCAATATTAGAGTATATTTTTGGCCCTATGCTTTTGGGACGTAATCGCTTCAAAGTGTTGGGCAATCCTAAAATTTATTTAAATGAGAATATGTATGTGTCTGATAAATAAATATCAAAACCATTTTTTTTTTTTATTACGTAAATCTTATTTTAGAAGGTTTGTGTCAAATTTTAAAATATAAATTCCTTTCTTTCTACTAAAAAATCGTTGTTAAGTGGAAGGAAAAATTTGGCAAAGCAAGAACGAGCTCCTTTCGGTCAGGGGAGTACGTATACATTATGCTCCAACAGGAGCATAGCATGTACACCGGGAGCATGCTTGAGCCGAGCATACATGTAAGGGTATGGTTTCTATAGAGCCGAGCCTCTAAACAATCAAAGTAAAGTGCACCTTCAAATAGTATCAAAAAATGTAGTTTCAATACTATAAATCTTTGTAATAGCCTTAAAATGTATTTTTATTTTTAATTATAAAATTTAAAGCTTTCAAAATAATGTAGAGCGAGTAAATCTATGATAACTTTAAAATCTTGAAAACTGATGGTCCAAAATGAGTTACAAGATGTACTATTTTCAAAACTTGAAATCCATTTTTTTTTCTCATGTCCATGCATCTTGATTGAGGATATTTGGGCATCAAAACAACTGCTTTAGTAAATATTTTGAGGTGGGCTCAAATTTGATTGTTTAGAGCGTCGACTTTGTATAAACCTTTTCCTATATTGTAATGGGATTGTCTACAAAGAGACCATTTATCTTTGAAAAAAGTTTATATAAAGTTGCAATCTTAAAATGTAGAATTAAATATGTACCTTAAAATTCCTCAAAAAAAGGTTATTTTACTATTAAAAACCCTCTAATCGATCAACTCGACATTAAGATGTATGAATATGAAAAAAAAGAAAGATTTTGAGTCCCAAAAATAGTGCATCTTGCAACACATTCTCTAAATTGTTAATTTTCAAGATTTTCATATGTTTATAAATCTACTTGAT